CTTTAACATTGTTAAATGATGTATTGAAGACACATCAGAAGTTTTCCTCCAAGTTTTTTTTTTCTTGATAAGCTTTCCTTATGAGATTTCATATTTTGGTAATGTTAAATAACTTTTTTTTTTCAGTTTAATACTATCAAAAAGAAATTTCTCTATGTAAGTAACCATGAAAAATAATGAAAAAATAGGATGGAAAAATAACTATAAGGGAGGGGTTACCCTTTCACAATTATCATGCTTACACATTACCATTCAAACAGTCACATAGATGTGAGTTATTTTCAAACAATCATTTTCATACTAGTTCACAAGCATATGTGCGCGCGTGCTGCGCATACACATATAATTTTGCATAAATCTCTTTCAAAAACCCCATATATGCAAACATATAAGTACATTTCACTTCATATAAGGTTTTAAAATTCCAATGGCCTCATTACTATATAAAAACAAAAATAGAAGTAATTTTCATAATTCTACACAACCATCCAAATATAGAAATAGTAAGTTTAGATCATTAAGTTACCTCAACCTTTTTGTCACGAAAAGGGTTGCCATAGCCAAATATTAAGTCCATAATGGTCCACTCACGGAACAACACATGATCAATATTTGATCTATAAAATTAAACACTAATAATCAATTATAACTTTAAATGAACCATTTTAAGCCTAATTTTGGATATCCACTGTACCTAAAATCCTACTTTAACACCATTAACACTTTTAATACACATCATTAATTTCATTTAGCATACAAACACTTAAATAATATTAATTCTCCACCTACATTATTCTCAATAGCTCAATTTCACTTAGGATTCGTTCAAACCCTAACCAAAAATCTCAAATCACTATAAAATCCTTAAACCTAGATTTAGAAACTTGATTTAATTCCTCAAGGCATTAAATAAACTAATGGGCTTGGTCTAAACCTGAGGAAAACCAAAACCAACCCCCAACAACATCCAAATCTAGAGAAAATTTGCATAAAGGGGAAGGAAGAGGTATATGAAGCTTACCTAAGTGTGTGGCTATCTCAAAATGCCTGTAAGTTGCTCTCAAGATGAAGCCCTAGCAGATCTCAAGCCCTTTTCCATACTCCCTTTGCATTTTTTTCCTTTTCTCCCTTCTGTTTCAAATATGCATGGCAATTTGATTAAAGCAAGTTTTCATGCATCTGCCTCAACATATGGTGCATCCGCTGCTGCAGATGGAATATAAAGGCTCAACATATTTTAGACCTCTCTCTATGCCATTATCCGCTCTAACTCCGACTTAGCTCTTTTCAAGGCTATTCATTGACCTAAAAACCTCATTAGCAATCCATAAACATCATAAATTGATAAATCACTTAATTTTATCAATTTACCCCTTCTAAACATTTAAAATTTTAAAGTTTGAGCTCGAGGATGTTATAAGGTCACCATGCCACATTGCTTGGGCCCAATTCTAGGCAAAGTACAATTTTTCCTAGTTTTGTAAAATTCTTTTTGATTTAGTCCTTGTTGCTTCCTCAGTGTTTTAAAACTTTGATTTCACTTGTGAGTTAAGCTCAACCATCACTTTAAAAAAGGTTTTGGTGAGATCCTGATTCTTGATGATTTTAATTTTTTTATTGAAAAAAAATTTATTAAACTCTTTCTATTGAGTCTTTAGGATTAATGGTTTCCTAATGACTATTGTGATTATTTGTATTATATGTTCTAGTAATATCAAGACATATATTACAAAAATAGCCACAAATAAAATAATGAATAAAAAATGTGTGATAATTTTAAGGGATGTCATGAAAATTATGAATATAAAAAATGAAAATTGAATGGCATAGAAAAGTAATATTATTAATTATAAGGGTAATTAATATCTATAAGATGAGAGCATAATTACCTATATTTACTAAAGAAAACGAAATTTTGTGGGGCATCCGCCTCCACTTTAACCACTTTAATAAACATAGGTTCGTCCTTGATTATTGGTCCAAACCCATTTGATTAAAACCTGATGTGACGTGACTTGTCTTCATTCTTAGATTTTACATGAAGTCAAACATAGATTCAATTTATTGAAATGTTTTTGATGGCTTGGTTCTTTTTTCCTCCCTTTTTGTTTTTATTTGCATAACACTATTGTGATCCGTGCAATTGAATCAAGGCAATCACATTTAGAAGTTGAGATAAATAAAAGTTGAAGGCTTATATTTCACTTTCACATTTCATTTGAAAAGTTTTCATATCAATTATTGGTTGGGAGTAAGGTTTTAACAACAAAATTAAACCGGCCTATTTAATCAATTGGATGGGCAACTGGCCACTAATCTAATCTGGATGACTCCAAAAAATTAGCCTCTTTTGAACCGGGCAAAAACTAAAAACTAAAAATTAAAAAAAGCCAACCGGTTCAAATAATAAAACCAGTCAAAAAAAATTAAACAAAAATGAAAAATGAAAAATTCTTTTTACTCCACAACTAGGCCGAGAGTTGTAAATTTTTTTAACATACAACTTAGCTCACATGTTTTCTGTCACCACCCCATGACTCTTATATAGACAACGCTCCCTCCAACTCCTTCTTACATTCTTCAATGTGGGACTTAGGTAGGAGTAGCAATGAGTGGGTAAAGCAAAAGCAAATGCTGTTTTTTTCCCCCTTTTTTATTCTCATTAATATTTATTAATCCATTTTACTTAATCCTTAAACTATAATTATAATATAAGCACGAATATTTAATTTTTATCTGAAGTTTATATCTTCAATTTAGTTTTTATAAGTCTCCTAAAAATACCAAATGGTTTGTCAATTTTTTATGTAATTGATATTTATTCATGAACATTGATCTTATAATAATTTTTTAATCATTATCAAAAGATAATAATTCTTTTTAAATATTTATTATCAATACTATTCATTAATAAAATGGTATTTCATTAAAAAAAGAGTAAACATTCATAAAATCTCATTTTATAAATTTAATCTCATAAAATAATATTTTTAAAATTTTTAATATAATAATTTAATCCTAAAAAGTTTGACCTCGGTTTGATCATTGAACTGTGAACTTGCTACCTTGACTAGCTTGATGACCAATCTAATATATAAAATCTTGGTTAGGAGACTTTAGTTCATTTGTTGTTTCTCTTCTTCTTTTGTATTAGTTTCTCTTCAAATTGATTGGCTTTCACCTTCAATTAAAACAGCCGGCTAATTTTAAAAACGATAATGCCATTTTGTCATTATATTATTATTATTATTATTATATTGTTAATTTTGAGCTTGTGACAAATGGGTATAACTATTCTCAATGTCAATTATTTTTGTTGATTTTTAATTGTATGTTAAACTTTCAATATATAAGGTCAGGAAGAGACAAGGAATGAGAAATAAGAAGAAACGGTTAAGAGACTGTTTTAACGTTTCTGAATTACAGTCTGATCAACTCCGGCCAAAAAGAAAATGAGGTTTATTAACACTCCCTTATATTCTTATTATCAAATACTTTCAACTATTTCATACATATTAAAAAGGTTAATTTTTTTTTTGATATCATGAAAGAAGTAAGATGTGCTTTTATTTTTATCTTTGACTTTAAATAATAATATAATTATGTTAAATACCTTCATGCTAATTAAGAAGGGGTAAAATTAAAAAAAGTGATTTAAATATTACAAAGTATCTTATATTTTGAATTAAAAATTACTTTTAGAAAGTAAAATATAAATAAGATCAGAGGGAGTATTTTTTATAAAATATTTTTTTTTAACCCATGGAGTACTCTGCTAGCGACAAAGATGATCTTCCAGCTCAAGGTATTGAGAGTAAAGGATTAGGATTTAAACTTTTAATTACTTGTTTAAGTTAACGACGTTCCTTATCATTTATGTTAATTTCAAAATAAATTATCTTTAGTTCTCTTTTAACCACCTCTTTAAAATTAATATGTAAATTTTTTTCATGGGTTTTTAAAACTACTCATGTTTATGTTGAGTTCATAACTTAATTAATTCCTATAATTGATAAAAATTAATACTTGAGAAAACAAAGGGAATTTTAAAAAACTAATTAATGCTCAAGAAAATTCATACAAGACCTTACATTTATGATTAAGAAAACTTTCCACAAGGGGCTTTGTAGTAAGGACAGGAAGGAGTAAAATATAGCAAGTCACTAGATTTACAAATAATAAATAATATATGACTTATTTTTTAAATTATGTGCATGATCCTATATTTAATTCCATCACTAGAATAATATATCATTTTTTTGATCCAATGAATTTTTGAAAGGTTACAATGGAAACCATTAGATGCTTGGATTAACTGGCTAAGGCGTTGATCTCTCTTTTAACCAGGTGTTTCAAGTTCAAGCCTTGGGTAAATAGTTCCAATTAAATTAAATTCTCATGTTGAGATATTGAAGTGAAAGGAAAAAAAAAGTCTTTGTTTCTTTTGTTGATTTTAACTAATTTAGTTAGAGGTAAATAAAAAAATATTTTTTTTTTTCAAACTCAAGATTTTACTTGAGAGAAACAAGGATTAGCCCACTTACCAAATTATTGTAAGTTAGTATATCATTTTATCATTTCTCCAAGTGATATATTTTTTATTTTAAAAATGAAATTTTAAATACACTCGCAAAAAAATTAATTTAATAATACCATACAATTGCAGATGACAGCTTCAAATATACTTATCTATTAATGCAAGTTGTTTAGGTCCATTCAGGTTAGCTAGGAAGCTAATAACTAATTCATTAATTTCATTGATTGGTAAATTATTTTATTTAAATTAAATTTATTCAACATCCTATAAAAAGGGCAGCTCGGTTGAAGATTGAATCGCCAAATCCTAAAAGGTGTCAACATAATAGTCATCAATTAGTTTCAGAGGGAGCTTCTTAGTTAGTGCTTTGTAGTTATGTTAAAATTCTTCTTCTTGTTGTTCTTGTTCATCATCTTATTAGTTAACAATAATGTTGTGTGTAATTCTCATAATTACAAAGAAGCATTGGCAAAATCATTATTGTTCTTTCAAGGTCAAAGATCTGGGAGGCTTCCCCTCAACCAGCAAATCACTTGGCGCTCTAACTCAGCTCTCTCTGATGGTTGCCTTGCCAATGTATGTTACTCTCTCTCTCTCTCTCTCTAATATTTTTTTAAGGAAAAATTACATCTAAAGACCATTCAAGTAAATTATTCACAGATAATGACTAACAATAAGTTTTATTTAAGACACAAGTCACGTTCCCCATTTTAACAATAATTTATTCTATATTGATCTTTATTTATGTATAATTTTCTTGAGTGATCCTTGGATGTGATTTTTTTTTTTTATTTCATCGCTTGATATTTTAGGAACCTAGGGGTACTACCATATCTTGCTAAATTAATCCGAACCCCCTCTATACATGGGGCTGTTTACCACTAATGGCAACTTCACAAATAGCTCGAGAATGCTTTTAACATATTTATTTAATACAAATGTATATTTTAAAACTTGAACTCTAGATGTTAACATAAGTTGATTCAACTCATTCAATTAGTTGACCCAAGCACCCCCCTCATTTTTTTAAATTAAAACTTGTTAAAAATTAGATATTATGAAACTTTCAATTTCTTATATTTGTCTCATTTATCGATTTAATTTTTGAAATTTAATTTTTATTAATCAAGTTTCAAAAATTTCATTACCATATAAATAATTGATTCTTATAGTGTTATTTTCTCTTCATATTCAGACTATATAAGGACTAACATATAAGGCTATGAAACCTTGGAAAATTGATTGATGCATATTAAATTTTGGGAACCAAATTGATAATAGGATTGGTTTCTATACTCATCTCAAGGATGAGCACATGGTGCTCATCTTTAAGATGAGATCTGGACCATTCAGATTTTAATTTAAATAGTCCAGATTTAATATATTATTATATATTATTTTTCTTAAAATAAAAATTTATAAAATAATTTTAATAAACTTTTTATATTTAGTCTAGCCTAGATTTAATTTAACAGATCTAATTTAATATTAAAATTTTTATAATTAATATATATTGATTATCTAAATGCACTCTACACAGTCTTGAATTGTGCAGAATAAATTGGATAATCAATATACATTAATTATAAAAAATATTAATATTAAATTAGATCCTCTAAATTAATTCTAAATCAAATTAAAAATAAAAAATTTATTAAAATTATTTTATAATTTTATAAATTTTTATTTTAATAAATATAATATATAGTAATAATATAATAATACTTCAAATTTGGACCATCCAGATTAAAAATTTGAATGGTCCAGATTTTATTCTAAGGATGAGTAGGGAAACTAATCCATTGATAGCTTATACAAATTTAAAGGATTAAAAACCTTATTATCACTAACATTTTTATATTATAAGTATATATGTTGATGTTATTATTCTCCCTCTATAAGATTTTGAAGGTTATGGTTATAATTTACCTTGATTTAGTGTATTTAGAATTCTGATTACTACTTATAGTGTTTGTATATAAAGAAAATGAAGAGATATTAATTTTTAAATTGTACAAGAAGTGTTTTTCTTTCATTATTTTTTGTTTTTCTCAAATTCTCAAACTCGAAAATTTTATTTTTATGCACACAAACTGGTCCGAAAAATTGGAGAGACTAAATCTATGTAATCACTCTGTTCAATTTTACCATAATGAATAAATTTTTTCATTTTTAATCATTATATATTTTTAAAATAAAAAATAAAATACAATGACTTTTTAGAAGCATAATTGAAATTTGCACTATTCCTTTTTTATTTTCAAAAAGTGCACAAATTTTTTTTTTGTAAAAAAGGAAAATTACTTTGACCAATTTTGCCGAAATTATATATAAATTTTTTGAGACAATTGTGTATATTTACTCATGTTGGAGAAAATGTGCATCCAAACAGAAACTGAGTGTCTATATCCACTTGTTAATAATTAGGCTGTAATTAAAATAGACTAGTTATAATTAATTTAATATTTTAAAATCATATATAAAATTATAAAATAAATTTTTTGGTAACCATAAACTAATATTGAAATAAAGACTTCTTCAACCAAAAGATAAGAAAATTGTAAATCATTTATAATTTATGTTTTAATTTATTTGAAAGAATAAAATTATATTTAATAGATTTAATCGAATAATATAAAAATCTTCATAAATATATTAAAAAATACCTGAGAGGCTCAATTATAAACTAATTATTAACCAGATGTAGCAGAGAAGCATCATTAGCGGATGTTGACATTGAGGTTCCCAGACGGACACAATTAAGCAGCTTTGCTATTTTTTACTCATTCAATTATTTTGATTGGCTATGTATACTTTGAATAAATTATTTAAAATTAGGGTATTTTTTGAGAGTATATGATTTAACAAAAAAAAGTGGTTATTAATGAAATGAAATGGGATAAAGTGAGATAGGGTGGCACTGAATGAAACATCTTATCATTTGGGAGTTTTGTTAGAAGAATAAACAATTTTATTTAATTATGATAAAATTTATATATTTGAATTAGATATAAGTTAAAGAATATTTTTAGTCATCTAACTTTACACAAGGTTATATTTTAGTCTCTTGATTTCATAAAGTGTCTTTTTTAATTTTTTAACTCTAATACCATTAATTTTGTCACAAAAAATTCATATATTAAAATTTTAAATTTTTTTACTTTTAAATATTAAAAAATATTTTTAAATATTGACATATTAAGTTTAGTTTTTTTAAAATAATATTGAGTGGCATGTAAAATAATCATTTAAAACTAACAATATTAAAATTAGAAAATTAAAAAGATACTTTTTAAAATTCAAGGATCAAATTAAAATTTTATATAAAATTAAAAGATAAAAAGTATCGTTTAATCTTAGATATAATTATGTTTTTTTAGTGTTAGAGTGAGACAAGTTAAGAAAGATGATGGTAATTGTGTAATAATATTATTATTCATATAAAGTCATTCTATCCTCTACTCATTCTGGGAGATCACAAGTCATTTCATTCCTTTTTAAAAATTCTTTTATAAAACGATATAAAATATTTAGGCATCCAGCATTCCACTTCATCCCATTAAAAAACAAAACTCCTAAACAGTACAAACACTACCCAAACATTCATTAGACCATATTGGCCATTAAAAAAAAATTTCATTACGTTATTTCTTAGAGTGCGACTTAAAAAAAAAAATCCTCAAGTAGACAAAACAAGAACAAAGAAATAATTAAAATAAGAAGAGGCCTGGTGGTTTTTTCCTTTTGTCAAATGATCATGTCATGTCCTTTCCCTTCGTTGTTCTCCTTGTCACATGTCAATTACTTTCATTTCATCTTACTAAAAATTACAGTTAATTTAATATCAACCTTTTAATTTGAAATACCCTGTATTAATTTAAATGTATTTTCTGATAACCTAAAATCACAGGATACTTTAAAAATTTTTAAAAAATATGATAAAGGGTAAAATAATTTGACTTATGTAATTTTAATGAAATTAAAATAAATTTAAGTAGTAAACAAAAAAATAATATAGCTTCCTCTAAATTAAACAAAAAATAAAAAAAAGTTCAAATGATCACATAATATTTATATTTCGCAGGTGGATCTAACAGGAGGCTACTATGATGCTGGAGATAATGTCAAATTCAACTTTCCAATGGCCTTCACCACCACTATGTTATCTTGGGGCACACTTGAATATGGCCATAGAATGGGTCTGCATATCCAAGAGGCTCAGGCCGCGATCCGCTGGGCCACTGACTACCTCCTCAAGTGTGCTACAGCAACACCCGGTCGACTTTATGTTGGAGTTGGTGACCCAAATGCAGACCACAATTGTTGGGAAAGGCCCGAAGACATGGACACGATTCGAACTGTGTATTGGGTCTCACCCAACAAACCGGGTTCAGAAGTGGCCGGTGAAACTGCCGCAGCCCTAGCTGCTGCTTCTATTGTTTTCCATAAGAGTGATCTAGCATACTCAAAGATTTTGTTGAAGACATCACAAGAAGTGTTCAAATTTGCTTGGCAATATCAAGGTTCATATAATAGTTCACTCGGATCTGCTGTTTGCCCTTTTTATTGCTCATATAATGGTTACAAGGTAATTAATTAACACCATTCCAATTATGTTTTTTTAGATTCCAAAATATTTTCAATTCTTTTCCTAGAAATGAGCTTTTTATATGTTGTGTTTCATGTTTATCCTTTTTAGGGTATTGCTTGCTGTGTTAAATTAAAACTTGATGGGCATCATTCAACAATGAGAATAAAAAAAATATTTTATGTATATTATAATTTGGTCTCTCTATTTTTTTTTTTGCCAAATTAGTTGTTTAAAGAGTATGGTCTTAAATAATTTCTCCTTTTGATTTAGGATGAATTATTGTGGGGAGCTGCATGGCTTTTTAGGGCAACAAAAGCTATTTATTACTATAATTTGATTAAGAATTTGGGAGCTGATGACCAACCAGATATCTTTAGTTGGGACAACAAGTATGCTGGTGCATATGTGCTTCTCTCAAGGGTAAATAATAAATACTCTTTCAGTTATATTTATGAGGTAGAGAGAGAATATTTATTTTGATTCTATTCATTTTATAATTTTTTTAAATGCTGGGCATCTAAAGGTTGTTAAATTTAATTAGTATTTTATGTTTAAAATGTGTGTATTTAATGGGAGTAAGATTGGAAACTTGTTAAATAGATAAAGTCAATGATATTTAAGGTTTTATTTGGTTGTGGTTAAACATGCTGGAAATGACTTATAAGTAAGATTAAATGAGTATCTTTGAGTCAGTTATTTTTTTCAATAATCAATGTGTTTGTATAACATAAATAAAGTTTGTTTAAGCCTTTAAATGTTATTAATGCAGAGAGCATTGTTAAATCATGATAAGAACTTTGATCAATACAAGCAAGAAGCTGAGAAATTTGTGTGCAAGATTTTGCCTAATTCTCCCTCTTCAACCACCCAATATACAGAAGGTATATACAAAGGCAACACTAATGAGAAGAATATGTGTTAGAAATTAAATTATCCTTCATTTATTTTGTAACATGGTGAAAAAGTAATTAATTAATTAAAGATAGTTGTTTTATTTGTAGGAGGGCTGATGTACAAGCTTCCTCAAACCAATCTTCAGTATGTGACATCTATAACATTCTTGCTCACAACCTATGCCAAGTACATGTCTTTCAAAAAGCATACATTCAATTGTGGGAATCTATTGGTCACTCCAAGCACCTTAAGAAGTCTTGTAAAGAGACAGGTTATAAGTTCTTCATCACTTGTTTGATTTCAAATTTCATGTGGTTGAAGAGATTTTAGAGTCATCCGATCTAAGATTTCAAAAAGAGTAAAATAGCAATTGTGTTAAATAGATTGTTGAGATTTGGGACTACACAAGATTAAAAAACTCCTTGAATTATATATGGAATGCAAATCCCAATAATTAAATCTTTAAGTTTCAAGAAATACAATAATAGTAGGTCCTTTTACTTTAATTGCGCTTTATTTTAGTTTGTATAACTTTATTACAATTTTTCCAATGCTTTAGTTAATTTGATTGACAATAATTTGAAAGAGAAATTGGGAGATCAAATTGTACCTCAAGTGGAAAAGTTTAGATATTTGGGAGCCATTATTCAAAATGATGGCGAAATCAGTGGAGATATTTCACATAGGATTCAAGCTAGGTGGTTTAATTGGAGAAAAGCTAAAGGAGTTATTTGTGACCGTAAGGTGCCTAATAAACTTAAAGGAAAGTTTTATCGCACTGCTATCAAACCGGCAATGTTATATAGTAGTAAATGCTGGTCTCTAACAGGACAGCAAGAGCATAAAGTTGGAGTAGCCAAGATGAGAATGTTATAATGGATGTACGGACATACATGTAAAGATAAAATTCGAAATGAGCACGTACGCGAAAAGGTGAGGGTAGCACCTATTGAGAAAAAAATGGTAGAAAATCGGTTGAGATAGTTTGGGTATGTACAAAGAAGACCAAGGGAGGCACCCGTGAGAAGAGTGGAACATATAACTTTGAGTCCGATTAAGAGGGGTAGAGGAAGGCTTAAGAGAATACTCTTAGAATTTGTTGAATGTGATCTCTTAATTAATAATATTCCTAAAAGTTTGATAAATGATAGAGTACAATGGCGTCTTGCAATCCATGTAGCTGACCCCACCTACTAAGATAAAGGCTTGTTATTGTTGTTGTTGTTGTTTAGTTAATTTGATCCATCTACAATATTTGTTTCTATAGTTTTAGTTAATTTTGTTGATGTGTACTTCTTTTCTAACCTTTTTGTTAACTTGTACTTAATCTTGCCTTTGTCTCTCATATTTTGTTTAAGTGGAATATAAAAGAAAGCTTTCCCCCTATACCTTTTATATTTTTATTATACCTAATCAATTTATTTTCATGTTGTCATATTTTTACCATGTCTATAAAAGATTAATAGAATTACAATGAAATTAACTCTATCAAAGTCAATTCATGGTCTTTATATATATATATATATATATATTTATTTATTTATTTATTTATATTTAAAATTATAGGGATTAACGTTATAGATAAATCAAACTAGTTAAAGGAATTAGGAGCAACAAAATAAAATTGTAGAGACTAAAAACAAAATGCAATTAAAATATAGGGATCTATTGTTATATTTTCCCTTTTATTATTATTATTATTATTATTATTATTATTATTTATCTCATCATTTCAATTTATTAAAAAAATATGATTAAATACTTTTAGGTGGACTACATCCTTGGAGACAACCCATTGAGGATGTCCTACATGGTAGGGTATGGTCCTTATTTTCCAAAGAGGATTCATCATAGAGGATCCTCCTTGCCCTCCCTAGCGGCTCATCCCCAAAGCTTAGGATGTAAAGGTGGCTTTAGACCATTCTTCTACTCCATGAAATCTAACCCTAACATATTGGTTGGAGCCATTATTGGCGGCCCAGATCAGAGTGACACATTCTTAGATGATCGCAAAGATTATAATCACTCAGAACCTACAACTTACACCAATGGTGCCATTGTTGGAACTCTTGCATACTTTGCCATTGCCAATTTGAAGTCAAGTTAATTTAGCCATTGTCTCCATTAGGAGTTGGCCTACATGTGCCAACCCAATACAGAAAAAAAATGAATGAAGGCATTGAATTTAGTTGAATGTGTGAGTTTTTAATTTATGTGATGTTCATGAGCTACAACTCAAACCTAAGTCTTGGATAAGTCCTAAACCCTAAATCTTCTTATATTAATCTCAAAGATTATGAGGTTGGTTCTTGATGAACTATAAGCTCATTGGTACAAAGTTCTTTTACTTGCACGAATCATGTAATTATCAAGTCAATTATCCCAAGTTTGCTATTGCCATTCATAGTTTTATGATAAATTTAGAAAATTAAACGTAACTTTGCCATGTTATAGTACCACACAAATTAGCAAAAGCATGACCATTGAGCTTTTTGAAACTTCTTGTTTACATAAAAGAATTGATGATATATATGTCACTCTATTATGCCTATGAGGAGAGAAAAATATAATATATTGATAAATGGTATTCTTAGAGCTTGTTTAGCTTCTATTTTTTAAAATTTATTTTCTATTTTAAAAAATAGAAAAAAAAACTCTTTTGGATGAGTGATTTTTTTGGGGGGGTTAAGGGTGGTGGTTTATGATATAATTTGGTTAAGTTAATTATATCTTTTGATAATCAAATGTAGTGTGTTTTTAAAGAAAAATGAAAGGTCAAATGACAGATTGACCCCTAAAATATATGTTTGGGAGCATATAAGACTTTAAACTCATCTTTGATGTAACGTTCCTTTTCAACTTTTGAAAATGATACAATTTAACTTTTATCATTAATAAAAATTAACTTTAACAGTAATAATCTTAAAATTACTTAATAAACAAGTCTTGTTATGGAATTAACAAGTAAATTTAAGCCATTAACAAGTCCTGTTGAGTAATTAAAAAGTAAAGTTAAGGATTTAATAAGTAATGTTAAGAAATTAACAAGTAATGTGGTTGAGTTTTGGAGTTATGGAATGAACAAGTCTTATCATGGAATTAACAATCAAAGTTAGGCTATTAACAAGTAAAATTAAGATACTAACAAGAAATGTTGTTGAGTTTATGAGCTACGGAGTGAGCAAGTCTTATCATAGAATTAACAAGTAAAGTTAAATAATTAATAAGTAATATAGATGGAGTTATGAAGTTATGGAATGAACAAGTTTTGTCACAAAATTAAAAAGTATAATTGAGAAGTTAACCAAGTCTTATTGAAGAATTAATAAGTAATGTAGCTAAGATTAGAAGTTACGGAATGAACAATTCTTGTCACTAAATTAACAAAAAAATGTAAGCAATTAATAGTTAAAGTGAAGACATTAATAATTAATGTAGTTGAGTTGATGAGTTACAAAATAATGAACATGTCATGTCACATAATTAACAAATAAAATTAAATAATAACAAGTCTTGTTAAGATATTAATAATTAAAGTTAAGAAATTAATAAGTATTGTAATTGAGTTTAGGAGTTACAAAATAAAATCTTGTCAAGGAATTAATAAGTAATTAAAATCAAGCAATTAACAAGCTCTGTTAAGTAATTAATAAGTTATAAAAATTAACTAGTAATGTAGTTTAGTTTAGGAGTTACAAAATGAACTAATCACATTAATAATAAGTCTTGAACTCAACAACATTATTTGTTAATGTTGTAGCTTAACTTGTTAATTTTGTAATTTTACTTATTAATTTTGTAATAAGACTTATTCATTTCATAATTCCTAAACTCAACTACATTATTTTTTATTTGTTAATTCTTTAATCTTTAATAGGACTTGTTGATTGTTTAACTTTATTTGTTGATTTGGTTACAATACTTGTTTCTTTCATAACTCCTAAAGTTAACTACATTACTTATTAATTCCTTCACAAAATGTGTTAATTGCATAACCTTACTTGTTAATTCCGTGACAAGAATTGATTACATTACTCATAAAATCAATATAGCGAGTTTCTTGTTCAATCATTTACAAGACTTGTTAAACATGTAATGTTACATATTGATTCCCTATCACTACTTGTTAGATCACACTTAATAAATTTTAGGTGAACAAGTAACATAAACCTCTAAAAAAAGAACTAAAAAACATTAAAAAAAAAGGACTACGTATGCAGCTAGCTTTTGGCCAACCAAATTATTTCTTCTTACTAATCCAACCCTCTTAATCTTAATTATCATAATCTAATTAGAACTCATAATCATATCATTCTTAAAGTCCTTAATAACTCAACACAGCATATTTGCTCCTCATTCTTCCCTTTCATCCTCTTCTTCTCTGTGTTGTCTACATCTCCTGGTGAAGTATGTTCAACTGGTAGTATTATAAACTCTTCTTTGCTTATGCTAAATGATGCTATGAAATCAGGTCCCAACAAGGTTGGAATGAGTCCAACTAATAGTATTACAGACTCTTCCTCCTACCATATATTGAGGCATGTTCTTTTTTGCTAATGTCGTGAACTCGATGAACTCTAAGATAAGGCCTTGTTTGGTAGGAAGCATTGAGAGGGTGGGATTAGGATGGAGATTAAGTAAACCCAACTTATCATGTTTGGCATGCATTATTGGTGAAGCCAATCCTAGTTCTAATCCCACGCTACATGGGATTATGTAATACCACCTACACCTTAGTATTGTAAAAACAATTTTGGAATTAATTTTTTTAAGACCAAAATGCATTTGTTCAGAGTTGATAATCTTGCAATGAGTGGGATCCCATCATTGTTGTGGTTGAAGTTGTCATTTGTGTCATGGTCATATTCGCTTTTGATTTTGGTGTTCATCGTCCTCACTTCTAGATCTAAGTTTCTAGTTCTTTATCAACTCCTTCCCTTTTCCATTCACCTTTGGATATGAGTTTCTAGGTTCTTCATCACCATCATGGTCATACTCTTATACCAACATCCTTGCCATTACCACTTTTAACCTTGTTAGTTGTTATCGTGGTTAAGGAAGAAAGTAAAGAAGAAACAGTGTGAGAGAAGGAGAGGGGGAAGATGAAGAGAAGCATCAATAGAGTTGCATACAAGTGCTTAAGGCTTTGATTCATATTACCTATAATCAGAATTAATAGAGGCATGGAAGGGAGAAGGCCATCTTTTTGTCAAAGGTTCAGTAGCAAAAGTAGAAGGAAGAAGATGATGGCATTTGTGACTTTTTCACCAAATTTTATTTGTTCTTAGGTTTGATTTTTTTTTGTTTAATCCCATAACATACCAAACATGATTTAAAAAATCATTCCCACTCTCAAATCCCACTCTTAGTTCCATCTGCAATCATTTAAAATTCAATATCTCATACTAAATAGGGCATAATAATCCCAATCTTGATGCAGTTTGATTGAATAGGAAATATGTTAGTATGAAGAACACATAAGTTGCAGTTTTGTGCCTTTTTTCATATTATCATCTTCCATTTTTCCCTTTATTTCTCGAAGGGCATTTCAATCATTTTGGTTCAAAAATTTATTTCATTTCAAACCCAAATTCCCATAGAGTATTTTCAAAATTTCTTGGATGCTCATTAGTAAATTATTTTCTACTATGATCCTAATATGAAGTTCTGCCTAAACAAAATGTGGGAGATAAAGGCAAGCATGACTAAGGTAGAGAACATCTTTGTTTAGAAGTCTCAATCTTTTTTTCCTGCTAACAAAATATATATCTATTTTATTAAAACATAAAAGTCCAATATAATAAAAAAAGAAAAAAATAATAAAAGAAAAGAAAATCAACCACAATCTTGAAACTTCTCCCAATCAACATCTAATAAAAGATCTAAAAGGAATTGGAAATCTAGAAACCCAATTCAAGGGACACAATTCCTTTAGTAAAGCTTTAGCAACCCAATTATCTATTGAGTTAGCTTCTTTGGGAACCTAAGAGAAAATGTTTTTTCGTAACAAATTCCTCATAAAGAGGATGTTCATAAAAATATGAAGACATTTCCAATTATTTGGTACAAGACCAATGCTATCAATCATAATTTTTAAATCAACTTCAAAACAAACATCATTAAGTTCATTTGTACAAGCAAACTCTATTGTAGAATGAGCTTCATAAATAAAATAAGTACCATCAAGAAGCTATCCATTAGAATCTCTGACAGCAAAAACTATATAAGCTACTTTTTTAACATCATAGAAAGTAGCATCTACATTAATTTTTAGTTCATTTCCTGCTGGTGTTGACCATGGTTTGGAAAATTAGACAGGATTGGTTGGTTAGACTAGTGAAATAGTGATTTGGTCGTATGTTTATCTAATTTGTTATGTGAATTAGCTAGAGGTCAACCCGGATTAATTCAGGTGACCTGAGGAAAACTGGGAATACCATTCAATCTTATGGGTCAGACAGGTGAACGAGTTACTTTTTCCCTTTTTAGAGGTTGCCAGAAAAATAAAGAAGAAGCACTAAAAGAGAAGAGAAAGATGAAGAATTGAGAAGAAAAAAGAAAAAAAAATCAATGAAACATTTTAACCCTAACCCATAGTCTTGCTATTCATGCTTAGCATCTTGAATCATTATCTAAGGTTAAATGCTGAAGTTCTTCATAGGCTCATAGCCTCGTACAGTTTAAAACTCTAACAAACTTCTTTGTGCTTTCGTTTTTCTAAATTATGCCAATATGAAAGCTTGAGTTATGAGAAGTGAGAATGAAAACGAAAAGGTTGTACATGAGAGAGAGAGAGAGAGAGTGTATTTAAAATAGATAATGGTATAGAGATGTCATCTTGCTTGACACTTGCACAAAAGTTACACTTTCCAACCAAAGTTCTTGGACATGTTTCATATTTTCATATTTTTGCTTTTAAGACACATTAAATTTAATAGGAATTGGTTGAACCATAAAATATTAGGTTGATTATTTGACTAGAACTAATATATTTTATTTAAATATGAATATTTTATGTATTTAAATTAGATTATATTATTTTAATTAAGATTGGTTTGACTTTGAGTTGACCCTTAGTTGAACCACTAAACCTTGACCTATTGTCATTGTAAGGTCCCCTTTACTAATTTTCAATTAACTCC